CCTGTTTAATATTATACATTCTATTCCTTCTCTGGGTACTTGTTCCCAGGAAAAACTTTGTTAAAGATACGGGCGTGACTGGCGATATGCCTGAATGTATCTCATGGCAGCATGTGTGAAGGGATTGTTACTTCAATGATCGGTTATCTCTGATTCAGGGGTAACGTCGGAGCTTTGGGGTATTGACACAACGGCCCTTGGCCAACGTGATATCCCGGTTCCTGGACTGTCGTTTTTTGTAACAATCGTTAAACTCAACACGTCTGACCATATACCTAGCGACCAAAGCGTTAGAGTTAGTCTGTGTGACAACTCTGAGTTAGTCTGTGTGACGACTCCTAGTCAGTCTGTGTGACGACTTAATGATCAGTCTGTGTGACGGTCAGGATTAGTCTGTGTGACGATCCCGTGATTCAGTCGATGACGAATCCGTAGTAGCAGTTGGGGTACATTAATGTAATGGTAAATAGTAGATTTGTGCATGTGATGTCATGAGTCGGTTGAATACGGGAGATACTCATAAGTCTTTTGCTAAAAATAGGCGACGGCCCGACAATCCGATTATATCGCCCTTAACGCTTGCCAAAGGAGGATAACTCGTTGACGTTTCGTCACCAAGTGAGTGACTTCAATATTACCCTGACATTGTTGCCCATATCGAATTGTTTACGTACTGCCCATGTAGTATAAATGAAATGGTACAGGGTGGTAGTTCGAAAACTTCTAAGATGGGTTTGAGGTTTTCAGGTTTATCGTTATGTTCCATTATTGTCATCTCGTTCGTATCCTACATTTGTTTGACCCGTTGTAGTATCATTTTGTTACACCTGGGGCCTAAGCAAGTAGATGATCGTTGTAAAACATTTTCTGGTTTGGGGACATCAATATAATTTTCATTCCAGGAATCGTATCAATGCCTGCCATCGTTAGTGTTATGCTAAATTTTCTATTACCACGCCAGTATATTCAATACATATGGTTGTCTAATATTGATAATGTTTGATTCGTGGAAAATCTGAAATCCCGTGTACTGATGCGGTTCATTAAATATTCTCTTTAATAATGCTTTTTGTATGTCGCAAATGACCTATTTGCCCTTACTCTAAGCGTCATAGAATACGACTGTGCTAGTGCGTAATACATACACTATACAGGGTGTTCCTTAATGATATGCGAATATTTAAGGGTGTTAATCTATAGGAAAAATTAATGTTAGTTTGCTTTACAAACTGTGGTCCAAAAATGTTTCCTTACAAAAACTCGGGGTGTTGAAGTTTTAGGAAGAAAATGGAAATTAATTAATATTTTTAGAACCGCTTCAGATATTTCACTGATGTTTAGCACGTAGTGAGAGTTAATGAAGTTGCATATTTTTCAATGCAAAAATAATTTTTAGCTTACACAGTGGCGTGCGTACGGGTATTGACTTCGACATTTTTCAAAAAAAAAATGATACGCCAATAGTTTTTTGCCAAATAAAAAATATTTCAGAATTCCCCGTTTAATTTGAAACAAATGATTTCTCTTTAGTTGCTTTCCTTTGATGTGCAATTTTTGAGTAAAAAAATAAAAACCGTTCTATTGTCTAACTTGCAAAATTATTATTCATTTTAATTGGAAAAATTAAACACATTAGGGGTAATGAACAACAACAACTGACAACATAAAAATAACATTAAAACCAACGAAATGATTACAAAAATTGTTGGAAATGGCCCCTTCACTTAGTATGCATGCTGCCGCCCTCCTCATGGAATTGCGCACTCGTTGAAATATCCCTGGAGGGTGTTTTATTCTATCACAAACTGCAACTATTATTTCTCTTAATTCCTTTACAGTGTTAATGGGACTTGTGTACACTAGTGTCTTAAGATAGCCCCACAAAAAGAAATCTAAACTGCTGAGGTCTGGGGACCTTGGTGGCCATTCTTGGGGTCCACCGCGGCCAATCCAACGATTTGGATAAACAGTTTGTAAATAATTACGAACCGCTACACTGAAATCCGCTGGTGCACTATCATGCATGTACCACATATTATTTCTTATTACTAACGGAACATCATCAAGCAGCAAACGCAACTGTTGTTCAAGAAAATTGAGGTTAGTGTGTCCGTCAAGAAGAATAGGCCAAAGAAAGAATAGCCAAAGTGGTTGCTGCCCATACGTTAACCGAAAATTATTGTGGAAATTCTGAATGGCATTTCGAGAAAAATTAGCTTCGTCCGTGAACAGAATCATTGATTCAAATTGCGGATTTTGTGTAATTTTTTTGAAGATACCACTGACAAAAGGTCACACGCCTTGGAAAATCAATGGGAAGTAATGCCTGTACTCTTAAAATATCGTAAGGATATAACAAAAAATCCACTAAAATTCTCCAAACAATTTGATGGCAAATATTTAAGTGTTTAGCGATCTTCTTCGTACCCGTTTCAAGATGTTCTTCGACTTCGAGCAGCACTGCTTCCTCAATTTCAGGTGTTTTCACACTTAGAGGTCTACCTTCAGATGTTCCTTTTCGGACAGAACCAGTTTCAACAAGACGACGATGAGTATTAGAAAAGGTTCGACTATCTGGCAAAGCACGATCGGGATATCTCTGGTGATAAATCCGTCTTTCTTGCTCACAATAACCGTCGACAAGGGCATATAGGAGTACGTATTGCATTTCCGCCATTTCTGCATTTGAATAATTCACCATTATTTACAAGATTGTAAAAACTAGATAATGAAAAATATGTCACAGCAAACAGATTTGAATAACAGAGACTTGTCAGATGTCAAAAGTCAGTGACATATTTCTAGAGCAACTACATATTTACTGCTAAATTGCATTCTTCAATTATTACATTAATTTTCTCGGACAATAGAATGGTTTTTATTTTTTTTACTCAAAAATGGCGCATCGAAGGAAAGTAACTCAGGAGAGATCATTTGTTTTAAATTGAACGGGGAATTCAAAAATAATTTGGCAAAAAACCATTGGCGTACCATTTTTTCTTAAAAAATTTCGAAGTCAATACCCGTACGCACGCCACTGATGAAGCTAAAAATTATTTTTCCATTGAAAAATATGCAACTTTATTAACTTTCACCACGTACAAAATATCACTGAAGCGGTTCTGAAAATATTAATTAATTTCCATTTTTTTCCTAGAACCTCAACACCCCGACTTTTGTAAGGAATTATTTTTGGACCATAGCTTATAAGGCAAACTAACATTAATTTTTCATGTAGATTCACAACCTTAAATATTTGAATATAATTAAGGGAACACCCTGTATAATACAGTACGTAGCTTTTTAACTAGAAAAGTTATCTGGATGTCTCAATGTAAATTTGAATCATTATGGACCCCAAGATACCTAATGGTGTTAGATGAGTCTATACATATAAAACTGTTAGATCTTGTCAAATTGTAAGAGTTCCATAATTAGGTAGATTAACTGCATAAGAGGAGAAAGGAATAACCTGAATTAATAGAGAGAAGTCTATCGTCGAAACACTCTTTGATCTCGATAAAATCTCCCCCGGCAAGAAACACGGAAATTAGAGCTAGAGTGCCAATGAAGTGTCCACAGACTCGTTGTCATTGGTTCTAACACACATTAAATACGGTGTATCAATGATTATCAACCTTTGCTTAAAGTTAACGTGCACCAGTGGTGGAGGTACAGGGGATTATTGGCATTATTTTTCCAAATAAAAATAGTACGCCACTGTTTTTACGATCTATTTGCTACAAATATCTACTCTTGTGTTATTTTCCTAGAGTGCATTGTTTTCGTAAAAACAAAAATAAAACAGGTTAGATCGTTCACGAAGAGCCGAGATACAATTAGTTTCTGAATAAAATAGGAGGCGTTGATACCAACTTGACGTTTCTTGGGAGATAGTTTGTCAAGGTTATGTGTTATATGGTTGATATCGTTACTACTACCATTTTTTTTTGGAAAAGTCAACACAAGAGTTTCTTTTTTCCATTTGTGTTGTGAAATGGAATTTAGCAATGATGAGTACGCCGATATTATTTTTGTGTACGGGCTCTGTAATGTTACAGCGGAGTATCAACGTAGATTTCGACGCCGACCTACCCCAAAGGTTTTTATTTTTTTTTATTTTTACGAAAATAATGCACTCTAGAAAAACACAAGAGTAATTATTTGTAGCAAATTGAAGGTTCAATTCGAAAAATTGCGCGTTGCGAAAAAATCAGTGGGGTACTATCTTTATTTGGAAAAATAATGAACTAATCCCCTGTATCTCCGCCACTGCTGCACGTTAATTTTAGGTAAATACTTTTGAATATGGACAGTTCATTCCAGTTGACGGTTTTGAAGATATAAAAAAATGTTTTTTTATTTTTAAACTTTAATGAAGCCCTCAAGGAAAAAATGTTAAATAGAAGACCCCTCTTAAAACGCGGTCCTGTGTATGATGTTTTATTTTTGGTCACGACTTGCTAATAGCTACATGACTTCCTCTGGCAGCTCATTGCAGCGTGTGCCGGGCTCCCAAGTTCATAAAAATTCGCCCGAAAGGTCAGCTTAATTTTTATGAAGTTGCGTTACTGCGGTCACATTCATAGACGTTCATTGAGGAGAGCTGTTTGAGGAATGATTTTCAACAATGATGCATTTTACAGTAGCCAGTTATCACAGCTTTTCATGATTTTTGGAATTTTCAAAATTTAGAATATTTCAATAATATTGAACACTTTGAAATATTTGAAAATTCTGTAATTTTGAAGAACTCGAAAATTTTTAAATTTTGATAATTTGAAAATATCGAAAAACATACATAGACCTTAAAAGTTTTCCACATTTCAAAAACCTGTGATCACGTGCCTCAAGGAAGCGTTGTTATCCGTTTAACATCCGTTGAGATATCACAACTCAAAGGGCACTCAATCCTCAAGGAAGCCTATAAATGTGACCTTGACTTCCACAATCCAAGATAGTTACTCTTTATCAAAGATCACTCTCTTTAATGTGAGTACCTGGCTTGAGGTAGTTGTGGGCAGTGTGGTGACAGTCGTACTGAGCGCTGTTGTCGTCACCATGGTAGTAGTGGTGGTAGAATCAGTGGGTACTGTTGGTGTGTTCGTGGTATTTGGCGGAGGTGGTTCCACACAGCACTTCATCGAGGAAGATGGGCAGGTTACGTTCTCCAGGACGTCGTAACATATGATCGTTGCAAAGGTGTGCACACATACTCCTGGACAGTCCTTCGAATCGGCTGTACTCGTTATGGTGTCCAATAAGCCTGAAACAAAAAAAATGGCGTCTATTAGATTGACTTTAAACTTCCCACGCATTGGAAACAACTTCTTGTACAAAAAGACGTAGGTTTTGCCAGAGACATTCGTGCACTATTTGAGGTTTTCCCGGATTGCAGTAATGTGCGTGTACGTACTTATATACTATACAGGGTGGCGCATCGAAAACGAAACAGACGCATTAACTGGCAGCTCAGTTTTTTTTTTTGAAAAACGCTCAGACCCGTCGATTTTGTTTTCGAGGGAGACACAAGTTTGGCAAAAAATCACATTAGCACGTGCAGCCCGCTAAGCGGAGGTGACACCACCTCCAAAATCTTAAATGGAAAGAGGGGTCGAATGATACCTTATTTTAAAGGTCTTTCAATTCCCTTTATAATGATATAAAATTAATGTACTTCAGTTCAATGTCACCTACTAAAAACTGAGCTGCCAGTAAATGCGTCTGTTTGGTTTTCGATGCGCCCCCCTGTATAGTATTATCTCGCGAAATCAAGTGACCTCATTAATAAACACTCCTAGTATAATGCTCGGATATATAGATAATATTGCGCCCACCTCGTATGTAGATGCGCGTCCGCTACTTGCTCTTATGTCCCTAGGAGACACTACCAAAGATGGAATAATTACAATTCTCTGGCGCGCGGCAAGTGCGACCGATAGGTACGCGATCCGCCGACTGAAAGCATTTTTCCAAGTTTTAAGGGCAAATGTGCCATGAAATCTATTTTTTTTGTTGAGGAGTTTGAATCAGACGCAAGGAAGGATCTATCCGAATAAGAAATAAAATATAAACGATTTAAGAATATCTGACATTTTTTTTTAATGGAAGTTGATATTTTATTACCTATCCCTTTCAAAAGAAGATTGATAAAACATACTAAAGCGTTGTGATGATTGGCTTATGGTGATTTTATATTTGAAAAAACTTTGCAACTGTTCAAAAAGTAAGTAAAAAGCACTGCCGAAATGTAATTGGAAATGAAATTCCTGTTGACTGTAGCGAATTTCTAAGTTTGAGATTGTAGACTTTACACTTTCCACACTATAAAGGCGGAAAATATTTTGATCCCAAAAACGTTCCTATTCGAGAGCTTTTGTAGGTGTTGTCCAAGATTTCTAGGAATATATAATGCCGAATTTCCTGATTATTTTGAGGCATAAGAAAAAAGTAGTTTTGGTGTTCAAAATCTTCGGAAATTTTTAGCTATACTTAAATCATTCTCGTGGATAACACGTTTTGAGTAGCCCAAATTGCTTTGCGAGTTCACGTCGTTCTTGAAATACTTCGAATTTCATCAGCGTGATCTTGATGTCGGTATAAGTGGGTTTCGTTTTAATTGAGTAACAAAATCATTGTTTCAAGTTTCGAGAACGAAGAACAGCGGATCTAAGCATGTGATAGTTCACCCGCGCTAGATGTGAGTTTAGCATTAGGCATGTGCTGTCGGTGTGATATGTTTCACTTGCCTCTTCGACACCAACTCACTACTTCAGAGATAGCACTCGCGGTGGGTATTCATATCTTCTATGGCCTATGTTGTAAGTACTATATTATAGCCGCGAGGACAAACTAGAGTGCTCCGTGATGTTGCTATCGTTGTTCTTTGCTCAAATACACTGGTTTGAGACAAGAATTTATGCATAGCTAGAAAAGTTGTCCTTATTATGCTGAAACACCTCATTTCACGTGTAGCGAAAAACGAAAATGTGACCTATTTGTGTATGTAGTAGGTGGAAAGAAATACACGTTTTTTTCATGAAATGGTTATTTGCTATGAGCAGTGATATCTAACACAACATTTTGTATAGGAAATTTTATGCACACTCCGATTAGAAAATCGAAAAAACTGAAAAAAAGGTCAAGGTGCGAAGCCAAATGTAAACAATTCAAAGCAAAGTTTGACAACATGCAGGAGAGAGGTATTTTATCCACATTTATGCCGCACTGGGTTAAGTTGACTGGTTTCCAAGTTATCAAATTAATAGGCTACGGAAAGACCATTATTAAGCTGTAATGATGAATCTAAGTGTATTTGGACATACATTTCTAGTTTAGTGTTAGCTATTTTTTAAGTATTCTTATAACGAAATACAATCAATGAAAAATACGTAACAGGGGTGCCCTATTGACTTATCATAGAGGCACTCTTTTCTTGGACTGGCGAGTAAAGCCTTGCAAGTTTTGCTAGAGTGTTTACTGTTTTTATTTGGATGAGCCATCAAATTTATGCAGTGGCGTAGCTACCTTGGGTGGCACCCGGTGCGGAAGTCACCCCATCGAAAGTCAAGAGCAATAAATTTTATATGATTTATAAACATTATGGATCATTTATATTATATATATCCTTTAATTTCTTCAGGTAGAAGGCAAAGTATTGCAAAAGTACACGCTTATAACTTAAACTCTCAAGCTTTTGAAGATCTATGTCTTCATCGTCTGGAGCTGGAAATAATTATTGACAATAGCAACAAATAACAATTAGGTGAAAAAATATTTACTTACTAAGTCGGCGAGATTGTTTTGTGGGCATGTGTATCTACTTTTGTAGTTGCATATGTGCATTCATTTCGGGCCTGATAAAGCCAACCAGCAGAAATACGTATCGCTCGGGTTACCTATCCTATTTTCTGCTCGAATCCACTTTTTGCGGATTTTGCCCATTATTTTCCTATTTTTGTTATATACCGCATGATAATTTTCTCTCTCTCTCTCTCTATATATATATATATATAGTATTCATAGTTAATTGTCTTAACTGTTAGGAGAAGATATCCTTTAATTTCTTTGGGTAGAAGACAAAGTATTGCAAAAGTATACTCTTATAACTTAAACTCTCAAGCTTCCGAAGATCTATGTCTTCATCGACTGGAGCTGGAAACAATTATTGACAATAGCAACAAATAACAATTAGGAGAAAAATATTTACTTATTAAGTCGGCGAGATTGTTGCTGAAATTGTTTTTAAACAACAGTGAAGGGAACACATAGTCGACGAATAAAAAACTGGACTGATGAGGTTCGATTAGGACGGAATTATTTTACTATTAAATGGCAAATCATTTTGAAAGTTTTTTTCAATTAAACGTTGATTGATTTTGGAAGAAATTTGGAGATTTTAAAACTATCAACTATTGAAAATTCCTTCGAGATTTCATCTTTTTTCCACTGATAACCTCCACATTATTCAACACGTGCCGGCCGACTGACATTCTACAGCGGCGTATGAAGTGTGACATTAAAAATTATTGGAAGGTCACCGATTATGTCGTCTTGTGAAGTGTGTTGCCTGGTAGTAAGGCGATATGTAATATATAGTGCAAGAGGTTGCCTATTATTGACCGATGAAGTACAAAGACATTTTCAAAACCTGATAGAAGTTGCTTTGGAAGGAGTGTGATTTGGATGTTATCCTACCAAACAACTAAGAAATCTGTAGGGAATATTCACACCTGAGGACAAAAGACAGTAAGCAATTTTAATTTTGATTTTATTAAGATAGTGAAGAATATTTTATGTAGATTGAGCGATTATGGGGAGAAGTCGATGATGGGGTAGATGTGTTGCTTTTCCAATTTTTCACAGTTCAGCAAATATGCATAAACGACGCTAAGTTGATTGACATCAGCTTTTTTATTCATGCAATTGTCTGTCATAGAGATATGTGACATTTCCAGAAACAGCCGTTTTGATAGATGATTTTCTCTCTCCAGCACCTTGATATGATTGTATCCCATTTGATGCCCTGTGGAGTTCACGTGTGAGGCTAGTGCACATCTTTCTGGATGCAGTCTGGCATCACTTTTATGTGAGGTTATTCTACCTTTAAGGGATCTTGCGGTTTGACCTATGTATGTGAGATTGCAGCTATTGCAATTGATGGAGTAGATGATGTTGGATAGGCCAAGCAGAGGAACTCTATCTTTCATTTTGTGAGTGAGGATTTGTAAGCAATGCCCTGTAGAATGTCAGTCGACCGGCACGTGTTGGATAATGTGGAGGTTATCAGTGGAAGAAAAGATGAAATCTCGAAGGAATTTTCAATAGTTGATAGTTTCAAAATCTTCAAATTTCTTCCAAAATCAATCAACGTTTAATTGAAAAAACCTTTCAAAATGATTTGCCATTTAATAATAAAAAAATTCCGTCCTATTCGAACCTCATCAGTCCAGTTTTTTATTCGTCGACTATGTGTTCCCTTCACTGTTGTTTAAAATCAATTTCACTAACAATCTCGCCGTCGTAGTAAGTAAATATTTTTTCTCCTAATTGTTATTTGTTGCTATTGTCAATAATTCTTTCCAGCTCCAGACGATGAAGACATAGACCTTCGAAAGCTTGAGAGTTTAAGTTATAAGAGTATACTTTTGCAATACTTTGCCTTCTACCCAAAGAAATTAAAGGCTATCTTCTCCTAACAGTTAATTCAATTAACTATGAATACTATATATATATATATATATATATACCCTGTGTCCTACTAGAAGATAAAAGATGCAACTCAGCACCTTTACGCAGCGTCTGGCAACTGCGAGAATGCAATACGATAGTTTCCTTTGTCTTATAATCCGAATGAACATGGTACTATACATTTTGTAATTCAGTTAGAATCTAGCCTTCACGCCAATCGCTACTTGTAATTTCGGAAATAAAATATTTTTTAAAAAGGCACTTACGCAAACGCGAAATATAAGTTATATATATAACTTATATATATATACGTTTTTTTTTAAATATTGAACAGGTAACAAAACAATAAAAACTAAGACATAAAACATATTTTTATCTTACAATTAAAATCTCTTCTTTCTAGCTTTGACAGCTGCAAAACTCAGAAATAATTCCATCAAAATTTATATTTTGTATTGCCTGCAAATAGTTTTTTATTAAGTTTAGTTTTCTGAAACTCCTTTCACATGAAGCCACGGGCACGCAACCCGTCATGAACAAGATTAGTACAATCCTAAGATTTAGAAGAGATTCTGT